TTGCAAAGGGTGGTTGGGTTACCCATGGTGAAGCCTTGCAGTTGTTTATATATTGTTCTGTCGTATGTGAAGTGTGTGGAGTTTGCTTCCAGTTCTACCAGTTGTGTTATGTCATGTTGTGAGGTTTGTTCTTTTGTGTAGGGTTTTGTACTGTCTGATTCTGTTTACTACTATGTTGATGGTTTTGGGGTTGGTGTTTTTGTGAACAGGGATGTAACGTCGTGTGAGATTAGTGTGTCGTTGTTTTCTATTGTCATCTTTTTTAGTTATTTTGCCAGTTTTGTGCTGTTTTTGCCATGTTGGTCTGTGTTGCCTAATAATGAGCTGTGATTTTTGCTGATTTCCTTTGCCATGTTGTACATTGGTGTACCTATGCTGTCTCCTATTGGTCTAAGCGGGGTGATCTGTTTGTGTATTTTTGGGGTTCCATGGATTCTTGGGATTATGTTTGCTGTACGAGTCCAGTGTTTGTATTTATTTTTATGTTATTTTGCCTTTTTCTTGTAGTGGTTTCAATCATTTTTTCTTTGTCTTTCTTAATGTCTTTTGTTGGATCTGTTTTGTTTTGTGTGTATTTTTAGAGGGGGATATTTGCATGAATTTGTCATGTTCTGCGTCCTGCATTCCCCTCAGGTGCCTCCTTGTGTTTCCCAGCCCACTCCAGGTTTACCCCTTAGGTTTCTGTGCCCCTTAGGTCTTCAGCTCCCTCCAGGTTTCCCTCAGATTCCCCCTTTGTGATTTCAGATTTAGTTATCCCATCCTTGTTAATGTTTTCTGTAGATGAATTTTACCTAGTCAGTTTCCCCACTCAGTTAATTAGTCTCACCTGGTCTCACTCCCCACACACCTGTTACCTGTTTCCCTGATTGTTTCCATCCGTGTTCCCTCTGTGTATATAACCCTGTCTGTGTATCAATGTGTCGTTGGTTCATTTTTCTTGCGTCAGCATTGCTTTGTCCTCCACAGACCTATAGATCCTGGCCCATGAGTGAGCTTTTGTTTTTGTCTTTAGAACTTTAGATTTTTGGCTAAGAGTCCTGCAGTTTTGTTTTTCCTAATAAAAGGATTTTTACTTTATACAACCTCTCCTGCCTTGAGGTGTGTACTGCTCTGCATTTTGGGTCCAATCCTCCTGCGCTCGCAGCGTGACAGAATTTAGGGGCTGAAGAGTCCATTTGAGAGTAGGGCTATAGGGATATAAAAAAAGCATATTGATAAATAAATCCATATTGATCAATATCAATAATTATTGATAGCTATTAAAAAAATGTAGAAAATATGTTAAGTACAGCCCTGGCCATTTGATGTCATTACTTTATGATAAAACAAGTTGATTGTGTCGCCAGACTTGATTTTTAATAAATTTTCTGCAAATTCTTCCACTGACCGTTGAGTGTTTGTTGTCATACTTGTAAAATCAAAATGTCGCTGCTCTGGTGAACTACTGTAACCTTTTTACAGGACAATTTCCTCTATCTCTCCTTGCTGCAACATTTTTCTGTTTTGGTTTGAGAGGGTAGGGCTTGGCGATGGAGCATGCCTGGGTCTGTGTTTTTGATTGGATGAGAGTACGTATCTAGTAATGAGCTACTCAAGAAAAGAAAAGAATCTTTTAATTGAAGTTTTTGTTGACCTATTATTTTTTCTATCGCACCATATGTCTATCGTTATTGAATTATTGTCCAGTCCTATTTGAGAGCACGTAATTAATATTGGTGTAAAAGAAGGGACTTTCTGATTGTGAACAGAGTGTTTTGAGAGGGACAGAGGTTCTATCGTCTTCCTCCGCTTATCCGGGTCCGGGTCGCGGGGGCAGCATCCCAACTAGGGAGCTCCAGACCATCCTCACCCCAGCCACCTCCACCAGGTCCTCCGGCAGGACCCCAAGGTGTTCCCGGACCAGATTGGAGATGTAACCTCTCCAACGGGTCCTGGGTCGACTCGGGGGCCTCCTGCCGGCAGGACATGCCCGAAACATCTCCCCGGGGCCTCAGGCGTCCGGGAGGCATCTTGACCAGATGCCCAAACCACTTCAACTGACTCCTTTCGATCCGGAGGAGCAGCAGTTCTACTCCAAGTCCCTCCCGAATGTCCGAGCTCCTCACCCTATCTCTAAGGCTGAGCCCAGCCACCCTACGGAGGAAACTCATTTCGGCCGCTTGTATCCGCGATCTCGTTCTTTCGGTCATTACCCAAAGCTCATGACCATAGGTGAGGATTGGGACGTAGATCGACCAGTAAATCGAGAGCCTGGCTTTCTGGCTCAGCTCCCTCTTCCCCACGACAGATCGGCTCAGTGTCCGCATCACTGCAGACGCCGAACCAATCCGCCTGTCGATCTCCCGATCCCTCCTACCCTCGCTCGTGAACAAGACCCCGAGATACTTAAACTCCTCCACTTGAGGTAGGACCTCTCTCCCGACCCGGAGTTGGCAAGCCACCCTTTTCCGGTCGAGAACCATGTTCTCAGATTTGGAGGTGCTGATCCTCATCCCAGCTGCTTCACACTCGGCCGCGAGCCTACCCAGCAAGAGCTGAAGCTCAGAGCTGGATGAAGCTAGGAGGACCACATCATACGCAAAAAGAAGAGACGAGATTCTCCCACCACCAAACTCGACACACTCCACACCATGGCTGCGCCTAGAAATTCTGTTCATAAAGGTAATGAACAGAACCAGTGACAAAGGGCAGCCCAGACGGAGTCCAACCCTCACCGGGAACAGGTCCGACTTACTACCGGCTATGCGGACCAAACTCACGCTCCTCTGGTAAAGGGACTGAATGGCCCTTAACAGAAAGCCACCCACCCTATACTCCTGGAGCGTCCCCCACAGGGTGCCCTGGGAATACGGTCATAAGCCTTCTCCAAATCCACAAAACACATGTGGATTGGTTGGGCAAACTCCCATGCCCCCTCCATCACCCTTGCAAGGGTATAGAGCTGGTCCACAGTTCCACAGCCAGGACGAAAACCACATTGCTCCTCCTCAATCTGAGATTCAACTATCGATCGGACCCTCCTCTCCAGTACCTTGGAGTAGACTTTTCCAGGGAGGCTGAGGAGTGTGATCCCCCTATAGTTGTAACATACCCTCAGGTCACCCTTCTTAAAGATGGGGACCACCACCCCGGTCTGCCACTCCACAGGAACTGCCCCCGATGACCATGCGATGTTGCAGAAACGTGTCAACCACGACATCCCTACAACATCCATAGCCTTGAGATACCCAGGACGAATATCATCCGCCCCCGGGGCTCCGCCACTGTGTAGTTGTTTGACTACCTCAGCAACTTCTGCCCCCGAGATTGGACAGTCCATCCTCAGGTCTCCCAGCTCTGGTTCCTCCTCGGAATGCACATAGGTGGGATTGAGCAGATCATCAGTTTCTGAAACACTAACAGCAGCCAATCTCAAACTAACCATGAGGCCATTTTCCAAGTCACATGTTCGTCTTCCTTCTGACCACATCTGGATTCCTAAATGTATTTAGTAGCTCCTATATAATTGATTGATTAGCTAGTTGTGTTAACACACACTGGGGCCATTTTTTATTTCAATATTTCAATTAAACCAAGGGCAAAAACAAATGGATCCATTGGGCAGATCTTTATTGGGCCCTTGTTTATTTTCAACATGTATGATGCCCAAAAAGATCCAAGGGGAACCAATCCTCAGGTAAAAAAACAGATCAAACACATTTTAAATATGAAATATTATAATGAGAAACAAAAAAATGGCTAAACCACTGATGAACATTTGTGTTGCACTAAAGACATCCAGAAAGACCACAAATCATGTAGCTGAAAATTAGACTTAAACAATCTAAATTAATAGTAACATTATATTAAATGACTAAATTATCATGAGACAACAAAAAAGTCTCAAAATAAAAGATAGAATGAACATCAAAAATGATCCAAGAGAATTGGAAGGAACACCGCACAGATAATGTTATGCTCCTCTGCCTCCATGCCATTAGCATTGCATGAGCCTTAGAGTGATGGATGGGACTCATTGCAACACTTGTCTGAAAGGCATGTTTGATGATTCCTGATTGGAGCTTCATCATGTCATTTTCTTGATTTTTAACTGAAAGAAAAATGAAATAACTACACAAGAATCCGCATTTGTGGTTTCACAATCAGCCTCTGCAGCTTGAAAAGCACATTTGTGATTCCAAGAGAAAACAGATTCACCCCACATCTGATGACAATAATGTTGAAACATCTGCCTATTTCGCATCCCTGTTGGTCTTACACTCTCCTCCCAGTTTAATTAACTTCCCCTCATGTCGGTGTGCACATGTGGCAGGCAGTTCGTTCTGCTCCATCTCTGGCAGTGGCACAGCAATAAAACTTTTAAACGATAACTAAAGCTGAGAAATTGAGCTCTTAATCTGAAACAAACAGTGTCGAAGCCGAACAAGAATGCCCTTTTTTGTGATTGAAGATGGCCGCTTTGCAACTTCTCTGAAAGGTTTCTCTTAGGAGCTTCAGCGTAAATGTGCACATTAGCCCTTCATCCATACCCCTCGTCTGCTCTTCCAGCATTGTGAAGAACAACTTCCTGAACTTTAAACAACTTAAACTGAGTGCATTTTTTAAGGTCAATATCTGCCAAAGCACACACACTCTGCATTCTAAGTCAAGCTCAATCCTTCGTTTGGCGTGCAAGAAAAGCTACTGAGACATCCTGGCTTCAGCGTAGGAAATTTGTTATGAGCGCTGGAAACAGAAAGCCTCCATAGTTAAAGAGGACATCAGTGCCTCTGTGTCTAGACTCCACTCCTGAGAGTATCAGCTATAATGCCAGACTTTTCCTCTGAGGGGAACTATTCTTTCTGAGCACATTATTCCTTTCCAAAATATTTGTCATCTCTGATAGAGTTTGTTTCTCTTTTCCCATCATAATGGCTCCGATGAAGGTGGAGAAATGACCCTCTGATGTTGGAGATCATGAATTTCCCATAACAAGTAGGTGACTCTGGTTTTTCACTCACCCTCTTTTATCGAGGTGAACTGTCCAACTCCTTCAGATGCGCTGTTCGAATCCTTCAGGGTGTTCTTCTTGCTTTTCGCCATCTTTTTGTTGGGTGCTTTCATTAAGAGAGAAAATGAAAATTTAAAGATTTATAATAAATGTATGTCTGTAGAATATTACAGAGCAGAAGTTCTTATAATCGTTCAAAGTTAGTAACAGCAATGTTTCAGTTAGTAACAGCAATGTTTCTTCATTTTTCCTGAAGCCCTTTCATAAAACTTTGACTGTCCAGAACATTTTCAAAGCAATTATGTTTTCTTTATTCAAGAAACTTAACTCAGATTGATGAACCTTTCAGACATGAAAAGTCATCTAAACTGCAGGAAGGAACCTTGGTTGTAACTTTATTTAGTAAAATCTGGGGGAAAATAACACTAAATGTTCAGTGACTGCAGGTGGAAATTAGCATTTATGCTAAAACCTGTCACTTAAAATGACATGAAGTGTGTAGTTTCCCTGGCGATAGGGGGCATTAGATACCTAAATTGTTACAAGCAAGCAGTATTTTTGTGTTGAGTAAGACCTTACCAACAGATGCCTATTAGGGTCAAAAAGCCCTGGGGAGTGACAACTTTAGCTAAATAACAAGTACATTACACCCCCTTTTCATCATTGGCAGTTAATGCAGAGGTAAATGTGTAAAACAACAACATTTAAGAATGACCTTCATGGGCTCCCGTAGAAGGAAACATGGCGTCGCTCAGAGACTTAGGGTGTTTCTCAATGTCAAGGAACCTTGCCTTGATGTCTTGGCCCCGCCCCGGTTGCCTAGGAGATACATCATCAGGAGCCGCCAAGACGTGTTCCAATCGGTTCCAGTGTTCATGTTCTACCGAGGCATGTGTTCTCCGTTTGTTAGCCGTTTAGCTAGCTGAGCAAGGACACACGGGAGGTGTCTTGTAGCCTAGCCTTGGTCAAAAATTACCCAGAATACACCACGGTATTTTCAAAAGGATGGCGGATCAGAAGCCGGCAGCTACTTCGGGGACAATTTTCAAGTTTAAAAGTAAGTCAGCTAATTTAAAATGTTTTTTTAGATCCAAAGAAGTTATCTGTTGTTGGTTAGTTGCTTAGCAGTTGCAGCTTTGGTGGCTAGCGGGTAGTAACTCACTTATATTTTTAATTTAATAAACATATACACAATTTCTCGTTTTATATTTATATTGAAATTTACACGTATAAAATATAACGTTAGCTCCCGTGTCACGTGACGTTACGTGACTGCCGTGGAAGCCGCGGTCACGTGATGCAAGTCTGTTCCATTTAACCATTTTCTTTAACCAAGGAAGGACAGTGTCCTTGTAAGCAAGGTGCCTGGCCTCGCAAGACCTCGCAAGGCAAGGCGCCTTGACATTGAGAAACAGCCTTAGACCCGCTCCCATGACCTGATTTAATGGTTTGATGTTACAAAACTGCCAATATTTTTCAACAACTGGGCATCATATCATTCATTTTCAACAACATTTTTGATGGATATTTCCAGAAATGAATGGTAAAAACTACATATTGTCTCTCTAAGCGACCTGAATTTATCTTGGTCAATGTATTGTTGTGCATGTTGCTGTTTCAAACAAACTTATACTTACTTAATCTAAGATCAATTGGAGGTTGATGAATCTTATTTCAGGTCTTTGCTGGAATGTTTCATATTTCTTAAGGCCATGCTTTAGATGCTGCCCTACTGTACTACTTTACTGTAGTTAGATTTTTTAGGGATGATGCTTCTTTTTCTGTCTTCAACATTTACACTTTCCACACACGACACGATATTCATTTTTTGAAACAAGAGCATTATGGCGAAAAGTGTTCAAAGGAAAAGTCCTTTAGGAAACCTGAAGAAGAGCACTTTAAATCTTTAAAGGGCAAGTGGACATATATGATATGTGTAAAAAATGAGAAATAGAAAATTTAAGTATACAAGTAAAAAAAAGTGGGAAAACATTAAACTACATAGCTAAAGAACTGTAAATAAAGAAGGAAAGAAATTACCGGAAGTATTTCAGCCCACAATAAGAAACAACGATTTAAACTACATTTTGTGTACATGAGACCCATTAAAGGGTTAAATAGAATTTTAAAAAGAGATGGTTTAATAGGCATGCACACTTCTCTTTGGTTTTTTCTCAAATTAGCCGATTAGCTTATTTAATTGGCATCCTATTTCATGCGCTTTGACGCATTGAGATATCATGTATAGATAAAAGCCCCCAGGTTCAGTCATGAAAACATCCTGTACATGAGGCCAGATCAGGGGCAGAGTGTCACGTTCCACAGACTGAAGATGGAATAGCAGCATCTTAGGTCATGACAAAATCTCCCACACATCTGAAAGCTTTTATCCTTCGAGAGGACATTTCTTCCTCGATGCTCTGAGCTGTAGATGCATTTATGAACACACGGTTCAGAAAGTGCCAACATCTGGTCTACAAGACATTACTGTGAAACAGGAAACCCATGGTGTGATTCTGAAGTGATCAAAAACAAAGTGTAACCATACTTAAGGTTTAAATTTGCACTGTAGAAAAAATAACTGACTCAACTTAATAAAACTGATTGAACTAATCTTTTTAAGTTTTTCCAACTCCACAGCTCAACATTGTTAGTTTAACTTAATTTCTTTAGTAAAGCCAACATGATTTTGCTAGCATCCACAACATTAATAAATTAAATCAACTTATGTTTAGATTTTGTTGACAAAGTTTTCAAATTATTTTCTTTAATCTATTCAAACTTTTTTATATATGTAAATTTCCACACAAAACATTCCATGCAAAACATTTCTATATGTTTTCAGATGCAAAAACTTTTTTCAACTGTGTTGGAAGAAATAATAGCAATAAATAATAATTTAATTTACAAAGAAATATTGATATGACTTTTAATTTGAGCCCAGTCTTTAATTTTATTCTTACAGATATTCACAAATATTCAATATTTGTGTGCTTTACAAGCTCTAGACCAAAAAAAAAATACATCAGCTTCTTTATCATAAAATAAAATAAATCTATATTTTAAAGCATTTGCATGGCTTTTTAAAACAAAAAATTACTTATTAAAGTAGTAAATAAAAAAATAAACATTTCATGAGCTGTAACTGGTAGTAAATAAAAAAATAAATATTTCATGAGATGTAACTGGTAGTAAATAAAAAAATAAACATTTCATGAGATGTAACTGGGGCACAAAAAAGAAATTTTGTCTGACTCTTGAATCAATTTTAATTTAATTATAATGTATTCTTGCATAAACGCATCAATGCTCCAACTTCAGACTTTCTAAAACATGTTAATTAAAAATGAAATGCTAGAAAAATGTTGGAACATGTGCCAAACCTCAAAACTCATTGGCAACAGGTCAGTGAAATCATTTGGCATTTTAAAAAATGAGTTTGAGTCCATTAAAAATTAAAATGTGGAGGAAGTGAATACTTTGAGAAAAGGCATGCATTTCAACAACTCTAATGTCATCACTGATTTCCAGATCCAAGACACTTAATGTATCCCTCGCGTTGCATATCATAAATAAAGTGAGTCCTGAGTGACATCTCCAGCTGACATTAATACTGGATGTTGGTGATTTCTGAGCCCTTAGGCAGAGCTGCATTAAAAACAGACAAGCTTCTGTAGATGAAATCACTTCATTGATTCAGAACAACGTCATCCCACAAAAACATGTGTCGACTAAAGTATGATCTAGTTTCTCATGGGTTTGGAACTTTTTTTGGGACAGTTTTTATTTGAAATGTTTTAAACTTCTATTGAAAGTCAGTTTTAGGCATTGTTCACGTCCCAAAAACACCCTGAAGGTGTGATGGCTGCATATTTGACTCCTCCTGTGGTCCCACCTGCTGAAACATGTGAAGTCAGATGCCTAAGGTATGAGATCAGTGTCCACAGAACTCTCTCCGTAATGTCTATTCACACCACCTTCTGTCCTCTGATCACGTGGCTTATTTCAAAGATACAGACATATAAACCTGTCACTGCACACACTGAGATTCATGTGGTGAGATCTGTGATGCATAATCCTACAAGGACTTCACACACCTTGCTGATTTCATGGGTTTCTGCACCTTTTTAGTTCTGCAAAGCATGCTTTTTATTCGTCAGCTGTGCAAGACGTACAGAAACATAACCTGTGAATGCTGGGAGTAAGGAGGTGTCTAATAGGAGGTCATTAGTCTACTGATGTCCATAAATGTATTCAAAGCTTCTAATAATTACTATTTCATGAGGACTTGTTTAAAACTCAAATAAAATAGCATAAACAATTTCTAGATTTTGTATAAAATCTTAAAACAAATGCCTCTTTTGCATTTCTGAAATTTTTGGCCCATTTTATTCAGACGTCTTCACACTCGCCACACTATAGTCATCCACTGTCATCTAGTGGCAAAACTTACACAAAAGTTTAACTTTAAAGTTTTCTACTGTCAGAAGTTTTCTTGATAATATGACTACAGGGTTACCTGACTTTGCAGGAGCAATTCCTTTATCTGCCTTCTTGTCACTTTCTCCTTTCCCTTTAGGCATTGTCTCGCTCCGCCTTGGCTGTCCTTGACCATCAGGTGGTGAGGTAATGGGCGTCTCTGGCACTTGAACCTGATTGTAGTGTTCTCTTGTCAGCATCTCCTGCATGTAGTAATCCTCGTGCTCATCAGCAGAGCCAAAGCTCAGGTCTGCAAGCCCTAAGAGGAGCAGCAGAGCCAGGGGCATCCAAAGGCATTGCCTCGTCATGGCCCGGGGAGGGGGGATTATCTCCAGCTGGAAGTCCAAACGCCGTCTCCAGATGAGCCTGCTGCTGCAGTCGGGCTGCATCCCATCAACTGCTCGTCCCTCTTTCCCTTCCCACTCCAAGAAGAAGAGTTCACAAAGTTCTCAGAGCACCAAATAAGTAATAAAGACAGAGGAGCCAGAGGGTCCATGAACGCCTCAGACTGGGAAAAAAGCAATGAGGGAGGGAGAAACACAAAAATCAGAGACAGAGGAGGAGGAACAAAGACAGGTGACTCACACTGAAACAGACACACGCACACACACACACACACACACACACACACACACACACACACACACACACACACACACACACACACACACACACACACACACACACACACACACACACACACACACACACATCTGATTCAAACCCACCCAGCTTGCCGACACATTGTCCTGTGATTTTATTGGTCTGGGCAGAAGTAGAGTATAGGGACAGAAACAAGACCTGACACCTAAGATCTGCTTTCATCTTCATCTCCTCACAGTTTGTCTTTAAAGTAGCTGCTGTAAAAGGGTGAAAGGTTTCTCTCGTCCCAGCTGAGACATTTACTGTTGTTTGTTTTTTATCTAAAAAATATGACAAGCACATTTTAAATGCAATATAAAAGTCAAAATAAAAATATAACAACTATTAGGAGTCAGATCTCTGTTTGTTGAATCTGATGCCCTGGTAGCCTTGAGCTGCAAGCAACTAAAACCCCCACGAAGGAATGCAGACAGATGCCGTGAAAACCCGAACCCCCCGCCTTCGGATTGGTGGACTTCAGCCTGGCGAGGTCATCAACTGTAGGAGTCAATGTGCTCTTTGCTTCTCCCAAGATCTCCCTCCCACATGTAGATGAGCGCCGTAGATGGCTGCTCTCGCTGGGGAAATCAGGATCTACAGTTACCCATTCTTGTCATGTGTCTTGCCCATGTATGTCTGATCTCTGAATTGTGTGTACTGAAACTCTAATTTCCCTCTGGGATTAATAAAGTGTCTTTGATTTGATTTTAGGCACAAAAGCGCAAATTTATGTGTTATAACAACCGTTTTCTGACTGAGTTATGGACTTTTTTTTATTCTTAAAAGTGTTTTCTGCATGCTGGCTTTCATTTTCTCCTTTTGCAGCTGTTCCTGTTCAGCCCATGCATACAGACGCTCTGCGGTGCTTTGCACATTAGCCAGAAATGCAATCATACAAACTGAGCAGGATCAAGACATGTTCCAACACAGGGGTGGACGGATGCCCTGTGTGTCACGGCTCATCACATCAGAAAATACTTTTTTACCTTCTTTTTTTCCCTTTTCTCATTGAGGAACAACAACAGATCACAAAGATTCTCATTCACAACACAAATCCTGCAACTGAGCAAGTCCTGAAGAGCTGTTGGTTTTAACACAACTTTTGAGATTCTGACTAGAAGCACAGTTACTGATAACTTGATGTAATAATTGTAACAAATACACAGGTTCATTGGATATAACACTGTATGCAGAAAAGGGGTGAATGGTGATCAGTATAACACCTGAGACTGAGAGAATGTTTAAATAGAGACAAAAGGAGGTGAGTCTGCAGGCTAATCACAGAAGAAAAGGACCTGGAGTGGGTGGACAGCTCAAGGCTGCCAGGCTCTGTGTACTGCTGGCACAGTCCTTCGCCAGCTTTGCAGGCACTCGTTCTTCACCCACTCTTCATCCAGACTACACCCATCCTGAGCCATCTGAGAGGAGGAAGAAAAGAAAGGGGATAAGAAAAAGGCAGCCTGGAGGACTAGAGGATTTTACATAATACACAGAGAAATGCCTCCCTAGGAACTGCCCCCGGGGCAGTTCCTAGGGAGTGGCAGACCGGGGTGGTGGTCCCCATCTTTAAAGAGCAAGTCAACCCCTACCAGAGTCTAACTCCACTCCCAATTCATGTTTGAAAAATGCAACAAATGCTGTTGCCTGGCAGACCGAGAAGGCAGAGCTGCTAACAAATACACACACACACACAGGCTCATGACATTATTGTGACATCATAATGTACCAGTTTACATCATAGCATACCTCTTAGCCAATAGCGGTGGCAGATTTAAATTAAAATACAGTGCAGAGTTTTTACCTGACAACGGCACAACACTGCCAGTTTTAGGCAGAATATTTAAATTTTAACTAAGATGCACTGAAGTGCCAAATTATTCACTACACGTGTCTGCAGCACGATTAGACACTCGTTTATTTAGTTTATCAGCAAAAAAAGTTTTTTGGGGGGTGACTTGCTCTTTAAGAAGGGTGACCTGAGGGTGTGTTCCAACTATAGGGGGATCACACTCCTCAGCCTCCCTGGAAAGGTCTACTCCAAGGTACTGGAGAGGAGGGTCCGATCGATAGTTGAATCTCAGATAGAGGAGGAGCAATGTGGTTTTCGTCCTGGCCGTGGAACTGTGGATCAGCTCTATATACCCTTGCAAGGGTGATGGAGGGGGCATGGGAGTTTGCCCAACCAATCCACATGTGTTTTGTGGATTTGGAGAAGGCTTATGACCGTGTCCCCAGGGGCACCCTGTGGGGGACGCTCCAGGAGTATGGGGTGGGTGGCTTTCTGTTAAGGGCCATTCAGTCCCTTTACCAGAGGAGCGTGAGTTTGGTCCGCATAGCCGGTAGTAAGTCGGACCTGTTCCCAGTGAGGGTTGGACTCCGCCAGGGCTGCCCTTTGTCACCGGTTCTGTTCATCACTTTTATGGACAGAATTTCTAGACGTAGCCGTGGTGTGGAGTGTGTCGAGTTGGGTGACAGGAGAATCTCGTCTCTGCTTTTTGCGGATGATGTGGTCCTCCTAGCTTCATCCAGCTCTGACCTTCAGCTCTTGCTGGGTAGGTTCGCGGCCGAATGTGAAGCGGCTGGGATGAGGATCAGCACCTCCAAATCTGAGACCATGGTTCTCGACCGGAAAAGGGTGGCTTGCCACCTCCGGGTCGGGGGAGAGGTCCTACCTCAAGTGGAGGAGTTTAAGTATCTCGGGGTCTTGTTCACGAGTGAGGGTAGGAGGGATCGGGAGATCGACAGGCGGATTGGTTCGGCGTCTGCAGTGATGCGGACGCTGAGCCGATCTGTCGTGGGGAAGAGGGAGCTGAGCCAGAAAGCCAGGCTCTCGATTTACCGGTCGATCTACGTCCCAATCCTCACCTATGGTCATGAGCTTTGGGTAATGACCGAAAGAACGAGATCGCGGATACAAGCGGCCGAAATGAGTTTCCTCCGTAGGGTGGCCGGGCTCAGCCTTAGAGATAGGGTGAGGAGCTCGGACATTCGGGAGGGACTCGGAGTAGAACCGCTGCTCCTCCGGATCGAAAGGAGCCAGTTGAGGTGGTTTGGGCATCTGGTCAGGATGCCTCCTGGACGCCTCCCCGGGGAGGTGTTTCGGGCATGTCCTGCCGGCAGAAGGCCCCCGGGTCGACCCAGGACACGTTGGAGAGGTTACATCTCCAATCTGGTCCGGGAACGCCTTGGGGTCCTGCCGGAGGAGCTGGTGGACAAGGCCGGGGAGAGGACGGCCTGGAGCTCCCTAGTTGGGATGCTGCCCCCGCGACCCGGATCCGGATAAGCGGAGGAAGACGACGACGACGACAGAGAAATGGAGACATGAAAAATGACGCCTTCATGCACACCTCTAAATAGCTCCAATTCAGCTGTTTGCTGCCACACAGGATATGGTGCAAAAGTTAATTAATGTCAGTAATTCAACTTAAAAGATGAAACTAATATATGAGATAGACCCGTTCCATGCAAAGCCAGATATTTCAAGCCTTTATTTGTTATAACTGTGATGATTATGGTTTACAGCTGATGAAAACCCCACATTCAAAATCTCAGACAGTTAGAATATCGTGAAAAACTTCAATATTCTAGACTCATAGTGTCACACCCTAATCAGCTAATGCACCCTAAACACCTGCAGAGAGTTCCTGAGCCTTTAGATCAGGGGTGTCAAACTCATTTTAGCTCAGGGGCCACATTGAGGGAAATCTAGTCCCAAGTGGGCCGGACCGGTAAATTAAAAAAAAAAAACTTCAGATTGTTTTCTTTGTTTTAATACAATCAATATAAAACGAGGCTGGAGCCTGAGGACAGTGTAGCACAAGTACAACACCTGAAATGTACTTGAAATTTTGAAAAAATAAAAATAAAAAAATCAACAAATAAAAAAAACATTCCTGTGATTCAAAGAGCTTACAGATCACATGGCAAGTTCAGTTTCATGCAGCACTTAAAGTATATTTGACTCATTTTACTTAACATCTTTTAGCTTTCAGCAGCACATCAATATCAGAAGTCACATCCTGAGTGGCAGCCAACTTCAGGATGGGATTCAAGTTCTTGTGTGAGCCTTGAGCGCAGCTTTGTTTTATTTATACTCATTACAGAGAAAACTTGCTCACAAAGATAAGTTTATTTTCACTCTACATTGTAAAGTATGAAAATAAAGTTTACACAACCATCTCGCGGGCCGGATTTAACCCGCTTGCGGGCAGGATCCGGCCCGCGGGCCGCATTTTTGACACCCCTGCTTTAGATGGTCTCTCAGTCTAAGATGGATTACTGAAATAAATGGACTTTTGCACCATATTCCAATTGTTATGAGTTTCACCTGTATGATAGTTTCCATTAGTGGTTTTTCATGACCAGTCATTTCAGAGTCACAGCGTGCAGAGTAAAGGTTGTACAAAAACAGTGAGCTAAAATTATTTTATTTATTCTTGCATAGATGTACTAGTGCTCTGAGACCTTTAACCCTTTGATGCATAATGGTCACTACAGTGGACAGATACTTAAAATTGTTATGTATTTATTTTTGCTATTAAGCACAGCTGTTGAAGACTTTATTGCATTTGAACCCCTCCATTTGTACTTCAGTAAGTCAAGCCAACATATTTCATGTTCAGATTGCACACTGTCCACTGAGGTGGACATGTAATAAATTATTTGTAAATTACATTTTACAAAAAAATATGTAAATATGAAATTTGTTTCATTCACACCTAAAGATGAATGAAAAAAAATGTTAAAAAAATCATGGTTGAAGATTTCATAATTCATGCATCAAAGGGTTAAAACAACATACTAATTAAAAACTCAGTGAAAGATGCTGGATCAAATGGTAAATTGATTGTGTACAGCCCCTTCAAGAGTTCCACGACAACCCAAGGCATTATACAACACAACCAGTCATTAACCCACATACACAAACATTCACACGCTGGTTTTGATGAGCTACAATGTAGCCACAGCTCACGCACAGAGAAAAAAAAGGGGATTTTTTATAGACTCAAATTTTAACAACTTTATCTGCAATAAAGTTCAATCAAAGTGAGCTGATTATTTAGCAATGACTACTATTGCTGTTATTTTAAAAATAATAATAATAATTATAATTATTATTATTAGTAGTAGTAGTAGTAGTAAAGTTAGTAGTAGTAGTAGTAGTAGTAGTAGTGATGGTATGAGTATTGATGTTTCCTGCTTTTCTTCTTAACTACTTAATTTATTCATCTCTACATGTACTATAAAAGTTTCACTGATGCTCTAAAGAAAGATAGAAGAAAATTTCAAACACAAAGATCAGGATTTTTTATGAACACAATGGTGGAAACATGCAAGGAGGATAAGGATGTTTAGGAGTAAAAGAGCATAAAAATTGTTTTGGTGCGTGTGTGCGTGCGTGTGTGCGTGCGTGCGTGCGTGCGTGTGTGTGTGTGTGTGTGTGTGTGTGTGCAAGAACAAACAGAGAGGGAGGACCTAAATCAAAAATGACTTTTCTACAAAGCCAACCGTTTCAGGATATCTACATTTTGTTACTGGGCTGCAGATATTTGAGTTGCTATTTAAAGCAAGAAAAGAGAAATAAAGCAGAATAAAATATGCTGGGCCTAAAGCTGAAACAGCCATGTTTTCTACATTACAATATCTGCTTTAGTCTAGAGCAGGCAAAGCAAACAGCTGCTTATCAGGCTGTGAAGCAGAGCAGCTTGAGACTCGCCGTTATGACAATACCTGTCTTTCTCAGCAGAGAATGCCACAAGGCGGAGGAGTGAAGGCTCCTGCCTCTGTGTGTAATCTCCTACTGGAAGAAATCCCTGGCTGTATTCTCATTAATTGTATACCAGTGCCTGCCCTGGAGTGACATTGTTGCGACTCACTGGCAAATACATTTCTGCTGCTACTTTGTCACCTTGTAATACATGAGGAGGAGGAGAGTCTTACAGAATCGGAGGATAGACATAATATTTATATTTCTATATAGTAATTTATTTTACTTGTTTACATGTGCACAGAAATGCCACAGAGCACATTCAGCCAGGATCCAGAACAAAGCGCGTTACTGGAGCTGTAGCGTTTTCATTTGCTTTGCAGCATCATTATAGACTTTACTGTTATTAATGAAAGCTGCACTAACATAAGAATGATTTGCAAGCCAAATCTCACATTGTAAGAAAATTTGTTTAATTAGATTGGACTATCAGAGTTTGACTGCAATGATGCAATTTTTTTCAATGCACAAGAAATGTGTGAAAAGATGCCTTTTTTAAATGAGAGGATTGAAAACATCAGAATTTATCCAATCTTGAGCTTTTAAATGTGACTTTGTTACACCTTATATATTAGACAAGTTTCTATTGCATTTGTGCTGCATTAATCGGTTTAATTTATCTGAGAATATGTTTGATTAGTGAAATGACAGAGGCAATGTAACTGCAGCTGGACTTGGTGAAAATGTTCCTGTGTCCATGGAAACTGTGTGAAACACAATGATGGTCAAATTGAGAGACTGACACACGCAAAGCAGGAGAGAGGTGAAGTCTCCAAGGCTTTGTGGTTTTCTTCTTTGGATTTTAAACGTCCAGCGTTTTTCATCAGTGAAGGTGATTCACGTGAGCTGATGTGATCACAGTTGAGTTTAAAGGTACAATAAGTAAGAATTTTACAGTGAAATAATCGCAAAACAGTCTCAATCATGTTGAAAGGAAGGTTACATTGAAACAGATTTCCTTCACACCTGTTTTTACTACTATGCTGCTCACATGTGGAATCAGCTCCCCCAGGACCTCAGATCTGCCCCAACTCTAGTGTTGTTTAAATCGAAACTTTAAACCCTAATGTACTCATCAGCCTTTGAAGGAATTGTTTCTTATGCTGCATCGTCTCCACTGTAATCTGTGATGTAATTGCTCAACCTTATTTCTGTTTTTTCCTTTTAGCTCTAAATTATAATTTTATTTGTGTATATTTAAATTTGTGTTCTCTTGCTGTTGCTGTTGTCGTGCCATTTCATGCTAATTGTGGGGGGTTGTGAGTTTCTCTTCCATAAAAAAATTAAATTAACTATAAGGATGTAGTAATGGTTTACAATTTCTGAGTCCAAGGGATTGCGGAGTCTGTTGCAAGCTAACGCTGTAGCGCATTTGTAATGTCACACCAGCCAGTGAAAAGCTCCAAAATTGTTTAAAGAGCTCAGCCATTAAAAAGAGTGACCAAGAAGTTATTTCTTGTACTTCCAAGAAGCCACAGCATCTTACTCTAGCAATGGGTGAAGCAGGCTGGAAGCTAACATTGAGCTAACAATGCTAACGATGAATTAGATGTAAATAGTCAGCTCTAAAAACACCTCTAGCTACTGTTTCAATAACCAACAACTCAATTTCACAGTGAAATATATTTAGCTACTTATAAACTTACTGTGGATGACTCTTCTTCACTTCTCATCAGAGACTGAGTCACTCATTTGTTTAAACACAGGCTGCAGTACCCAATTTTGACCACAGGGTGACATTCTTACTTCATTCTTGCACCTTTAAAGGTCAACTTCAGTGGCGGTTCTACATCGAATTACTCCCCGGGCGAGGCCCCCTTTGAGCGCCCCCCCCCCAACCGCCCCCCCCCACCACCACCACCACCACACCACCCCACCTGCATGAACACACGCATGTTTTCTACAAACAGGCATGTTTTATTAGAATGACTATTGAACATTCATTTTTCTAAGTTGCACATATTTATATTAATTACTATGAAGTTGTCAGAATGTAAAGCACTATAGATTATATACTGTATCAAAATATATAGAATCAAATATACAAAAACAAACAATAACTAAATATTAAGAATATATGAACATAATAGATAATAAATATTCTAAATAGCAAAAATATTTCACACATAACAAACTAAAGATAATCACTACAGCATTGCACTTACAACAGAAAACACAAACTAAAATTAAAACCTAACCTTGATGCAACGTCGTCAATAATGTCATCACATGAAATCTGCTCCCCTACTGAGTGATTGATACTAATCAGAGCCAGGTTAGTGAGCCGCCCCTGAAACATAGGTGACCTCAGGTATGACTTGATCAAGTTTTGAAAAGCTCCTCTCAGCTTGAGCCACAGTAACTGGCAGAGCAGTCCAAAAGTTGGGGTAGATCTCCAATAGATCTCATGATCCATAATATTTTAGAATTGCCTCTGAAGTTGTAATTTAAACTGACATAAAAAAAACTCTAGACTACCAAAAATACCAACTTTTACAGAACAAATCATGTAAAAAATAATCAGTGCAGCCATCTGCAATAAATAAACAGGATAGTTAGTGGTGACTGGGGTGTTTTCTTCTGCTTGTAGAGTTGTTTTATTTATTATGTGAACATGATCAACATGTGTTTGTTGTTGTTCAGGCAGGCCACGGGCTGCAGCGAGCATTTAACAAATCCTAGTTTGAATCAGTAAAAAACGATTCAAGGACTTTTTTCGAACCATTTGAATATTCGTTTAAATATTTCAGCCCTATTAGCTCTGTTAGCAATTAGTTGACCGCATTTAACCGTTAAAATCCCAGTTAACTGGTTCAAAAAATTGAAAACATGCATCATGAGAGCTACATACCTTTATCTTTCTCCTCTTTTTTCTTTTTTTTCCCCCCTGAATGGGGCACCTGGTGGTTTTAGCCTTTTTATGTTCATCTCTTCTGTTTGGCTCTTGACTCCGTAAGTTTCCTTTAGTCAGGACTAAACAATTTGACCTTGATGGGGGGGTGACCACAAAATCGTTTTGTTTTTCCTTTTTTTATTCGGCCATTTCACACAATTCAGAGAAACCTGAAAGAATGATAGGCCTGTGTTTATGATATTATGAATGAAATATGGAAGAACATCTAGATGTGATTGACTTTAGCCATGTTAATACAGTTGATTCAGCCCCTAGCTCATTTCATTTGGGAAAGACGCAGAGGTGAATTCCCCCGCCGCACCCCTCCCCTTCCTGTTCTTCATAGACACACGGTGCACGTGAACGTTCTCAGTCAGCAGGAGCGCCTGCAGCTGCAGGGGGCGCCAACTTGCTGTTTCCAATCCAGACACTGTGATATGACAGATAATAGAAAACCTCGGTGCGGCGCAGATTTCCTTTTTTTTTTTTATACTCAGCGCTTGTGCGCCCCTTTTGTGTCATGAAAAAATGCCGCCCCGGGCAACTGCCCTGTCTGCCCGTGCCTAAAACCGCTACTGGTCAACTTTATTCATATTTTAATACATTTGCTTTGGTCTTTAGTAGGAATGAATGCCTTGTTAGTCACCCTCTGGGGGAAATAAATCTCCTGTGCACCTGTTTCAGGAACTAGAAGTGAGTCAGATTAGCGCTGAGCTTCATACGGCAGGATTTGGAGTCTTATTTTCTGATATCTGGACATCTAGCCTCTGATTGGATAAGAGCTATGCTACTCTACCACTAACACTGTTTTCTCTGCAATTTTGATGTTTAATCTCCACAGATAAAACACAGAACCTGGAGGAGTTCTGCTGTGTAGTGGAGTTGCTAATGCTAACAGTTAGCTTCTACTATCCAAGACCAAGCCCCCACAATGCAGCTCTAAAATTGGGCCCAACCCGGAAGTACCAAAAATTGCAGTTCCACCCTCATCCGCTGGGGGCTGGTGTCAGAAGCGAGCAAATCCTCATTGACTCCCATGTTAAAAATACCAATTTCACAGCAGAAATAAACATGTTTACAGCCTGGTACCAAAACATGTTTTTGGTTTAAATGATCTAGTTTACACTCATGACAACTCTAAGGGGGGTGAATTTTTTTCTCACTCTTCTGTTTAAGTGTATTAAAAGCCTAAAATTCTGTATACTTAATGAGCATCCGACCCACGTGACCGCCGCCTCAGACCCACGTGACCACAGAGCTAGCTCCGTGGAAAGGCCTCAGTAGAGCCTCGGTCTGGCTTGGAAACTGTTCCGGGATTTTGAGTCTCTGTGTTTGTGTATTCTGTTTTGGATATATTTTTGTGCAATTGTTGGACAAAATGACTTGCTGTGGCATTAATTGCACTAATAGAGCGTCCAAGGAGTCTCCACTTCATTTTTTTCTTTAAGTAAAATTATATTATGTATTTTAGGTCACTGCTGAGCTGAGCTTAGATTTTAACATGTACTGTTTAACCATGAAATTTAAATTTAATAGGGTAAAACCCAGTGCATTTAACATAATGCTGCACTTTAGAAAATGGGTTGAAATATAACATGTTGGTGGAGCTGGGTTCCGACTATCGGCTTGTGGAGCTCTCGGAAGACCAATGTTTTCCACCCGTTTCTCCCCTCCCCGCAGCCCGGTGCATGTCAGTCTGATCGCGGCTTCTGTTTGCTGCGCGGGCTGATGGCTGGTTCTCCCCCCAGCTCGGCGCATCTCTGTCTGATCGCGGCTTCTGTGTGCTGCGCGGGCTGACCGCTGGGTCTCCCCGCAGCTCGGCGCATCTGTCTGATCGCGGCTTCTGTTTGCTGCACGGGCTGACAGCTGGTTCTCCCCCCAGCTCTGCGCATCTCTGTCTGATCGCGGCTTCTGTTTGATGCGCGGGCTGCTGGCCTGGTCTCCCCGCAGCTCGGCGCATCTGTCTGATCGCGGCTTCTGTTTGATGCGTGGGCTGCCGGCTTGTGGAGGTCTCGGAGACCTCTGTGTTCCACCCGGTTTTACCCAGCGGTCAGCCCGGCGTATCCCTGACTCAGAAGCTCTGGTGTTGTGCACTGTTAACTCCGGTTGTAGCTAGGTTGCTACCTCCGTTAGCTTAGCTCCTACCTCCGCATTAGCTTTGGGTTAGCTTCAGGTTAGCTTGTAGCTAGTTCCACCGGGTGTCGTCAGTTGATCCCAGCCTTACAGCCCCACCCTCAGCTCCTCCTTTCTTCCCTTTTATTGTCTGGGCTTGACAGAACCTGTGACATGGTCAAAATGGCGGTGGTGGCCACCTCCCATTTTAGTACAAAAACGTGATATTGGAGCCTATGGAAAGGAGATGTACAGTATATTTATGTCAATGTCCAAGACATTCGCTGCTGTTTCCTAGATGCTAAACCAACAACAGACTTCCCTGTAGTGAGTCGAGATGGGTGGCTCCATGAACCTTTAGTGACACTGTGATGTAGATGTGTCAGGCTCAAATCCTAGAGTTTCACCATCTATTTTCTATCAGAAATACGGCTGCAAAATATATTGCAAATATATCATTATCGCGATGTCAGCATGCGCACCCATGCACACACACATTCACACACTGGCAGTGATGAGCTACATTGTAGCCACAGCTGCCCTGGGGCACACTGACAGAGGCGAGGCAGCCAAACACTGGCACCACAGGTCCTTTGGACCACTATCAGCAGGCAAGTGGGTTGAAGTGTCTTGACCGAGGACGCAACAGCAGCGTTGTCTGCCGGAATCGATCCTACAATCCTCTGATTACTGGACAACCAGTTTTCCCTCCTGAGCTATTGCTGCCTCCACCCGTCTTTTATGGCCTGTGGTAAAAAATAAAAATACCTGTACAGGTTACCAGTCCATCACAGGACAACCAATCACACATCCAGTCTACAACAAACCTAACATGCATATATTTTATCCATGGGAGGAAGTCCACACATACATAAGGAGAACATGCTTATTGTACAATGAAAAGTCACAATCAGGAATTGAACCTGCAACCTTTTCACTGTAGGGCAACAGTGCTACCAACAGTTCCACCGTGCAGCCCTAATGGAGTCTAAATAAATAAAAGCCACCAATGCTTCTGTTTAAAACCCCACCTCATGGATGAGCTTTGCTGATGTGAATCACTTTAATCGTCACAACCTTTGTAAGTCCTTTGTGGATCTTGGTACATCACTGCCCTCAGATTCTTCTTTAAACTCTTCCTTCCTGAACACCTGTGTTTGTAACTTCTATTTGAGACTGCGCACAGCTGGGATTAGCTCCAGCTGGATGGGACCAAAACAGGCCAGATGTTCTCTTTTACCAGTTTTGACTTTGAATGGCAAGAAGGGATTTTCACATGGACACAATGCAACAGAGATGAGCTTGTCTCTTTATGTGAGTTCTTTGCTGCCAAAATGTTTATTTTCCAGTTAATCTTTCATCTGCCCCAAAAGTTCCCTCAGAAATGTGTACTTTGTTGACACGTGAATGGCAAAATAAAATATCATACAGGTTTTATTGTACAGCCCTGAGCAGCCACAATCAAAAACACAGCATTAAAGTCTTGTTTTGTGGCGCAAAAATCACTGAAAGGACATGTCTATTTAACTGCCTCATAGAGATGAAGATCCACCCAGACACAGATGTAACCGCATTAGGAATCTGACCCTGTTCTGAACAGCTGGGCTGAAATTTGAGGTGGGAGCTAATGCAGACCCTGGATGCAATCGACTTGGCTAAACAGAGGCTCCACTGCAAGGGCACTGGAGGCTTGAGAGGATGGGGAAATACAGAAAAACATCTGGTTTAGCAGCACTTTTGACAACTGAAACAGATAGAAATGAATAAATGGATCCACTAGGAAGAAGGAAACAAGACAACCATTGGGACAAATGACAGACAGCATTTTCAAAAGCTGGCGCTGGCTTTTGTTTTTTATATTTTTTATAAAAGTGAGGGTTTTTTATTTATTTATTTTTTTAGATTTTTTAAAGAAAAGAGGCAGGGCAGAAATCAGTTTTCCAGGGATCATTTTTATTACTTCAGCATGTGTCCAAAACATATAAAACCACATAGCACTGTATATCACAAACAGATGTTTTCTGCTGAGGCCCTCCAACAAATGTTTGGAAATAGAACAGAACAGGACTATTTTGTTTAATATCCTCTGCCTATTTTCCATTACAGTCAATAATACAATAAAACTACTGCTTTATTGCTATTTTTGGCTTTAAAAGCCTTGATTTTTTTCCTGTGCGTTCTTTTGTTTGCTCCAACAAAAGCGGAACATTCGATCAGCTGGATGGATTGCAAATATTTGTTGCACAGATAGATTTTTTCTTTGTTATTTGAATAAATTTGCAATTAACCCAGTAAAACCAAACAGTTTCAAAGGAGGCCTTTTCAATTTGACTTTTGAGCAGGATGTGATATTTTTTCTTGGTGGTCTTGACAGAATTTTCTACCATGACTAATAAAAAGGTCAAGTATCCGTCACATTCAGCCTAATGTTATTAAGTTTGATGTGACTCAAGACTAAATGGGGATGAGGATGAAACCAGAGACATTAAGGGGTGTGGTGGTAAATGGAGGAAGAGCAAGCTCTCTCTCCTGCAGCTCATTTCCAAAGCCCATCCAAATTGACAGAGGAGAAATGGACATGGAGAAAAAAGGAATCTCCAAAATCAACTCCAACATCCTGTTGTAAATCCTATAAATGTGACCTATAAAGATCTGCTGAGATGTTTCAGGCTCAGGGATTTCTTTATCATGCTCAGTAAAATCTGTTCCATCCAAGTCACTGCAATTCAACTTCTATTGAAGAATAAATTGGACAAAAATGATTGTACCCCTAGAAAAGACAGAAAATAATGTGACCAAAGGGACATGCTAATTTAGGGTGTTTCCACTAATTAGCATCACAGGTGTCTACGGTCTTGTAATCAGTCAGTGGGCCTGTACAGTATATAGGGCTCCAGGTAGTCACTGTGTTGTTTGGTGACGTGGTGTGTAATCAGCATGGACCTAAGAAAACAAGGAAAGAGTTGTCTCAGGAGATTAGAAAGAAAACTTTAGACAAGCATGTTAAAGGTAAAGGCTATAAAACCATCTCCAAGCAGCTAGATGTTGCACATATTATTCAGAAATATAAGATCCATGGGAGTGTAGACAACCTCCCTGGATGTGGTCACAGGAGGAAAATTGATGACAAATCAAAGAGACAGATAATGTGAATGGTAACAAAAGAGCCCAGAAGAACTTCTAAAGAGATCCAAGGTGAACTTCAAGTTCGAGGAACATCAGTGTCAGATCGCACCATCCACGGTTGTTTGAGCCAAAGTGAACTACCGGTACATGCGAGAACACCATTGTTGAAAACTAATCCAGACTGGGATATGCCAGACTACATGTTGACAAGCCACAAAGCTTCTGGGAGAATGTCCTATGGACAGATGAGACAACAATAGAACTTTTAGCTAAGGCACATCAGCTCTATGTTCACAGACGGAAAAATAAAGCATATAAAAAGACAGAACACTGTCGCTGCTGTCTATAATCTGTGCAAGGGACGATGAAATCTGAAGACTAGGGATTCTAGAGAGAAATGTGCTGGCCAGTGTCAGGAAGCTTGGTCTCAGTTGCAGCTCATGGGTCTTTGGGGATAAATTCAAATATTTACGAATAACTGCTTAAATCTTTATAATATAATTACTAACTTTCATTAGCATTGTTGTTCTATGTGGAATGCCTTTAGACATTTTTTTCTCTTACACCTAGGAACTACTACAGAACTAATTAAACTCAAAGTATGCATTACATTTGTTGTAATATATTTTCTGAGCTTCTGTTCTTTGTTACAACCTCTATTTAAATCTATTTCCAATTGCATTGTCTGACATTACATAAACGTTTATGCTACACTTTCTCAATGTTTCACTGCATGAGGTTTATTATTCCACCTATTCTCTCCTGGATTTTTAATCAATGTTCCGTGTGAGATTTTTGGATATTTGAGCTTTTGTGCAAACTATCAAGATATTGTTGACGTTACAGATCAGTTCCACGTGAGATGTTTGATTGAGACAACTGCCAGCATCGGGAAAGAAAACTGTAATTTATCACAACAGCAAGTTGTATTTTTTTTTCCATCGCACCAAAAGCCCAAAAATCTTGTGCACTTCAATAGAAAAAAATCTTTGGGATATTCTTTGAGACACTTCAGTTTACTGTCAGTCACGGTATTCTGACACAGCACCGGCCAGGTTGAAGGAAGCTTTGATAACATTCATAAATTCCAAGGAAATTGAAGTTGGTTGAAGGATTTCATTAAAGACTATTTTCTCGATCCAGACAGGCAAAGTGAGTGGCTGCAAACAAAAATATGAACGACCTTTTGCATAATTTCCCAGTCAGATTCTTTTCATTGGGGTGAGAAGGAAAAGCTGTTGGACAAATTGCATTCCCTCTTTTATTTGGGACGGGAGAGATTAGACATTTGCTTCATTCGGCTGAAATCTGTTCATCTTTTGAGTATTTAGTCTATTGTAACCCTCCCTCAATCCCGCCGAGGTCAAATGGACCCCCCGTCTGCTTTTTCAAGCGTTCCATTTTTACGCCCATCTTGCTATAGCGAGCCCTTATGCAAATATTTTTGGAGTCTTGCTCAAGTTTTATCTTTTCAATCACTCCAGCTGTTCAGGGTGGTCAGAAGGGTCCTTCACACTGACATCCACTTCCCACTGTCCTGGTGGGGTCAGAAGGACCCCTGGCACTTGTTGCTCCAGCTCCTAACAAAGTGTGCCAACAGGTAAATAATGATTTTAGACAACGTGGCAGTCATGTCCAATTTGATGAAATCACTAGAGAAACCTCTGACTAAAGATGGAGGCAGTAGCCATCCGCCCTACAGGCAAATGGACAGATCAAATGAATACCGTAATAAATTTAGGTCGCAAGAACAAGACTGAGTGTGCTGTTTACAGTTGTAACAAGCAACTGGACTTGTAGGCCACCACGGGGTGGCCGCTTCAGGGAGGACATCAAGATCACGAGTAGGGTTGGTCATCGTTTGATTTAGAATGATTCCGATTCCAATTCCTTGTTTCGATTCCGGTTCCTATCGATTCCCGATTCCGATTCTTTCAAGACATGACATGCTTTACATGAGCCAGCTAACCACAGGTCCTACTTGATGAAATAATCTTAACTTCAACATTAATTTTAATTCTATGAACAATAACTTTACCTTCATTCAGACAAAAACATGTTTTTAAGAAAAAAAGAAAAAGACTTGCAGCACAACCAGTGTGTTTTTTGTCTGACCACAACCAAAGTTATAAATAAAGCTTTGATTGATTGATTGATTGATTGATTGATTGATTGATTGATTGATTGATTGATTGATTGATTGATTGAAAGTCTGGAAGAAGCCTCTGGGATGAGAGGCTAAATGTCTCCAACATATCCAGAAACGTCCAGCTGTTTTCAGCCAAAACTCTCAGGATGATCATGTCCAGGATGTCTGAGAACTACACCTCCATACTGCAGCAGCATTCAGTCAGAACAGAAAGTGAAACTTAGATGTAGCTGGCTGCGTCTGACTGATGAAGCTCCGTGTGTGTTTTTATTTCTGCAGTGAAACAAACTCAACTCACACCGTCCAGAGTTTGTTCTTTAAAGCTTCTATTAAATCCACCGTGTTGACGTATTTTAACAAGTTTCCTCTATGATGCAGGAGTTAAAGTTTACATTATGGAGTAAAAGTTTGGCAGACGTGTGTGTTTATATTTGGCCGCTGCACGCGGGGGGCTCGGTGCTGCACACAGACAGCTGGTGTGATCAGCTCTGAAAAGCGTTGATCACAATTTTGCAGACCACGTTTATTTTTCACGGAGATCGGCCGCGGATTCCTCTTCTGGTTGGCATTCTAGGAATCGAAACTAGGAATCGAAATCAAAGACTTTGAACGATTCCAGGAAAAATGAACAGTTGGATCTGGTTCCAATCGATGCTCGGTGCTCGATGCCCAACCCTAAACGAGCCCTTTTGGACCATTCAGTTGTTGGTTTCCTCAAACCGCCGCACTTCCCTAGCCCTTTTAGCCTGGCAAGCCAGACTAAGTAAATGTATTATTCAAACTTTGCAAAGCAAGAATTCGGTCTAGTTCACTAGGCTATAGCCCTTTAGCAACCGAACAACATATCAGAGAAGGAGAAACAGCCGGCTGCTACCACTTCAACTTTAGGACAAACTACCAGATTCCCAAAAAGAAAAACACCATTTGAAGCAATGAAGAAATAAGGACATTTAGACATAAAAAAAATGTCGACTGGTGTTTAAAGTTTTTACGTTTCCTCTGGCAATGAGGGCTTCTAGTTCTGGCAGATGCATCTCAGGGAAAATACCCAAGGGGAGGGATGAGTGTTCTGTGATCATGTTTGTGTTCAAAACCTAGCTTGTTCTGTAGATTCACTAAAACGTTTTTAAGGGGGGAAATAATCATGCTAGAGAATCAGCAGATCCCACGCACTCACACTGCTGGGTAGGCAGTAACGCAGTTGAGGGGCACAAGGGTGGACGGTTTTTAGATTTGGCCATTTAATCCACATGTTAGGGCGGCTTAAATGAAAACTAAAACAAACAACAACAACAATTTTATTATAGTTATAGCCCATGAAGTCAAGAGAAAATGCTATTTGGACAGATTTAGACAACATCATAAAGAAAAAGTTCTTTAGACTTACTTTTCAGGGCTTTTGAATAAACTCTTTAAAATATTATGAAATATAATGGAATAATGGAAACAAAAATTATCCTTCTTAAGAGATTGTCTGGGGAATTCATCACAACTTGTTTGTGGTTTCTTACGCAAATAAGTCTATAGAATCGAAATTTTGTTTTTACAGTGTATTCCCTTCCATACTTCAGTCCAGTAGGGGGCGGTATTGCATCTTCACACTGGTTCCCAACCGCCAAAAACACAATAACAGTAGAAGAAGAAAGAGCTGTTAGCAAAGTTAGCTTGTTTTGATCTGTTTCAGGTGAATTGAGTGAGGTTAGGCAGTAAAAATGTCTCCACTTCGGTCTCTGGGGGAGGTTATCAGCAAAAGCGACGAACTGCTGCTCCGGTAGGAATATTCCTACCAGGTTATGGAAACTGTTCTCCTCAACAACTTAGTGCGAGTTCTTTCGAGAACCAGAGATTTCCTGGGGTCTTCATGACAATCGGAGCTCCACAATAAGGTAAGCAGGAAACCCATATACATTAAATGATGTATGAAACACTTGCTGTCCACTAATTGGATCCTAACTAGATCTGCTGTTGTTCGTTTCCCCTTGGTTTGAGGTCAAATTTAAGAGGTTCCCTGTACCAGCCTCGGTCATTTTACAGGATCGCTGTTTGGTTTCTAATCCATCCTCTTAGGAAAAGCCCCGAATCGTAATTTAACATTTGAGGGAAGGAGCGGTTAGCTCACCTCATTGCGCTCGGGTGACCGAACGTCCTCTTTTTCCATGCTGGATCTGCCCTCAGCTGGTCAGAACCAAACCGTTAGATCCTTATCCAATTAAATGCGTTTTTACTTGTAGAGTGTGAAAACAAATAACAGTGAAAACACGCAAAAACTCAAATACATCCCAGCTAAGAAATATACACAAACGTCAACATACTAAAGCAGGGGTATTCATTTCCGGGCCAGGAGGTCCGCTATCCAGCAGGTTTTAGTTTTAACTCTGCATCAACACACCTGATTTCAGTCAGGAGGTGATTAACAGGCTTTTGCAGAGCCTGATGAGATGCTGCATAAGTGATTCAACCACTGAATCAAGTGTATTGGAGCAGAGAAACCACTAAAACGTGCTGGATAGCAGCCCTCCAGGACCAGAATTGAAAACCCCTGCACCAAAACATGAAAGGTGAATCCAACAACTAACGATTTAATTCAGTTCAGATTCTCAAGGTGATGACTCGATTATTAATCAATTCACAATTGATACTCTAAATAATAAAGAGTGTCATTTCCAGGATTAGCTATTTTATTCTATAACTTAGAAAGAGCTATGCTAAATAATTTTACTTTGAAAAAAACTGGTTATGTTCAATAAATTCCATCTGTACAAGGTACAATCAAGTGGTTCTAAAATGATATTCGAGAGTGAGTTGTTTTCTCCGCTGTTCTCAGAGTGGAGGACGGCTTGACCAAGGTGTGGAGGAATATTTTCATTTGACAAATTACTGCTTCTTAACTCATTCACTGCCAATGACGATTAAAGTCGTCATTTGCTTTTTTTTTTTTACTGTGTGGGCATCAGAACAAGCCCCCGCACCGTGTGAGCAAACATCCCAGCTCTAAAGCCGATCTCCATCCGCATATGTCACACATCACGTGATCAGGAAGCAGAAAATCCATGTGTTAGGAGATCATTTTTGGCCACTGCGGTAACAAAAGTGAGGCGCAAACCGGAAAAGCTTCTGCCGATCACAATTCGACAACGGATTATGAAAGAACGGATAACGCTCGAAACGCACAGATTTTTCCTGATGTAAGAGGTGAGTCTACTCTTTATTTTGGTAGTTTTGGCGTCTACATCATCCTAGTGCGCAGCGTTCTGTGACTCTTAAAAATAACTGTTAAAACGCCAGCAGCGAAGGGCTTTACCGATCAGAAAACGGCTGGCAGTGAATGAGTTGAGGGTGCAACGTGTAAGAAATTAGTGTGAATTTAACAAAGAGAAAATCCCCAGAGTCTGATGTTTCAGTCATTTTGGAAGGAAGGTTATACTGAAACATATTTCATATCCCGTTAGCTGTGGGGATTGTCAGTTTTTCTCCTTTCAAAACAGGAAGGAGGGACGTAACTACTGTTTAGCATCAGTGTGTGTAGTCATGTCTCCTGCAAGCTAATACTGCAGCGCCGACAATTATAATTTGACGAAGGCGATCAAAAAGCTGCAGAGTTGTTTAAATTGGTTGCAGTAACCGAGTTTGACCACAGGATGTCACTTTTACTTCATTTCTACATAATACACCTTTAAAAAGGCATAAAACAACTCTCTCTGGCGCCATCTTCCCTCTTTTTCTGAACGACATCCCATAAGATGTTAGTGTTTCACCTTTCAGAGCTATCTCATCATTATGAGATATTAAAAAGGTTTATTTTTTTATTCTAAGTGAGACAACTTTAAAATTATGTTATTATGCGAAACTTTCTCATTATCCCTTTGATGCATGAATTATGAAATCTTCAACCATGATTATTTAAACTATTTTTTTTATTCATCTTTAGGTGTGAATGAAACAAATTTCATATTTACATATTTTTTGTAACATTTAATTTACACATAGTTTATTACATCCACAACCTCTCTCCTCCATATATCTCAGACCTTATAAGTATTCACACCCCATCCCGTTCACTCAGATCTTCTTCTTCCATCCATCTTGCGGTTCCTTCTGCCCGTCTCGCTACCATGGGGAGCAGAGCTTTCAGCCGCTCTGCTCCTCGACTCTGGAACTCACTCCCCCCAGACATCAGGATCATCGACAGTTTTACCCTTTTCAAAACAAAACTCAAAACACACATGTTTAAATCTGCCTAGTACAACCTCTGATTTTATTGAACTGTTTCTCTCTTTGTTTTTTTTCTTCTTTGGGTTTTATTATTGTTTTATTGTATTTTATTACGTGTTTTGTGTAAAGTGACCTTGGGTGTCCTGAAAGGTGCTTTTAAATAAAATGTATTATTATTATTATTATTACATGTCCACCTCAGTGGACCGCGTGCATTCTGAACATGAAATGTGTTGGCTTGGCTTACTGAAGTCCAAATGAAGGGGCTCAAATTCAATAAAGTCTTCAACAGCTGTGCTTAATAGCAAAAAATAAATAAATAAATAAATTGAGTACCTGTCCACTGTAGTGACCATTATGCATCAAAGGGTTATTACAAGATACTGGCCCCATGTACCCCACATTGATGGCAATATGCTTCTGTTTGATGTGCTTGACTATTGGAATTAACATATTTAATCCTTACATAGTATTGATGACAGTCTGGAAATCCTTTAAAGATAGCTAAACATTATTTTATTTAGATCTGCTTTTACTCAAATATTTTGTGTTTTTTCATGTTTTCTGTTTTTATTTTAAAAGAATTTATGAATTTTTTTATCTTTGTGAAGGACTTTGTTATTATTCTACCTGTGATAAGTGCTATATAAATAAACTTTACTTACTTTATCTGCCTGTGAATTTGAGTTCAGTCAATCTTAATGCACAAATTAGTGACAGTGGCTCTAGCAAAAGGTGACAATGAGTCCACTGGTGCAGACAAACCACTGATGAGCCACTGGACTCAAACAAGAAAATCTCAGTCTTGTTCTCAATTATGCTCAGAAAATTTTACGCCATGCACCCTTTTACCTCCTCAGGACACTGCAGAATTACTGCCATGGAGCATATATCGCCAGCATAGAAATTAAATGACAAGCACATTCATGCAAATTAGCACCAAGAGGAATCAGATAATCTCATGCATTCTTCTGAAGCTGCATCTTAATCAGCTTTCCCTATTTTGTTTCTATTGCAGCTGTTGGCAAAACGTGGCCAAATAAAACCTGCTACCTCTTCAGGATCATCAATCACTGTCTACTCCACCATATAGCTTTGGACAGCATGAATACAGGTACAGCTACACAACTACAACGGTGTGTGTGTGTGTGTGTGTGTGTGTGTGTGGGTGGGGGGGGGGGGGGGGGGGGGGTATTACTTAGCTTTTTTTATTAAACAATTCAACTCATCAGTCTGTCAATACATCCACAATTATGATACAAAAAAAGTAAATCAATAACAACTTTTTATCTCTCGATAATTATAGACAATAAATTTAACATTGTAGAAAATATATTTAACGTGCAGCCCTGGCCATTTTATTTTTGGTATTTTCATTTTTTTCTCTACCTCTTCTCATTAAGACATCTTGCTGCCTCATGCTCTGTTTTGGCTTGAGAAGGGGAGAGCCCGGTGAAGTAGCGTGCCCGAGTCTGTGGTTTTGATTGGTTAGGATCCCGGTGCTAACACCAGACTCCCAACACTACAAATTTATTTTATCACCTGCACAAGAACCACGAAAAAGAATACAGAGAGAGTCAACATGTTAAAGCCGTAAAGGCAGCATTGAGTGGTTGTGTAAACGCTTATAACAAACTCCAGATACAGATGCTGCAACAGGCATTTACTCGTGACACACCAAATAACCACAACTCCTGCAGATTTGAGATCACTACTGCAGTTGCCAAGCACATCTGCAAAGATGTGGTTCCAGTCTACATGTTCAACAAACATGAGTTGGTGCAAACACTCGATCCAACATTGAATTCAGTCAATTAATCAAATTTATTTATATAGCCCCTTCTACCAGCTTAACAGAGGTCCAAGGTGCTGCACAGCACATAAAAACTTAGAAAGGCATCACATTAGTAAAAGCAACAAAAGAGATAAAAATAGCATAAAAGCAATAAATAGAAAAACACAGATAAAAACAATTAAAAAGAAATAAATATGTAAAATACAACAGACAAGGTCAGTGGTGTCGGGGGAAAGCTAACAAGAAAAAAATGAGTTTTCAAGCGAGACCAAAACACCAGCAGACATAGAGCTTGCTTTACTGTTAGATGGAGCTCATTCCAAACGGTCGGTGTCATTACCGAGAAGGCCCGGTTCTCCCTTGATCTCAGTTTAGAGCGCGGGACTTCCAGCTCTTCCAGCAGAGCAAAGGGCCCAAGAGGGGACATGCCTGTGCAACAATGCAGCTAGATATGGTACAGTAGTGCCCTGTCCCTGAAATAAAAGAAGTAATGCTGTATTGTTATGTATATCGTTTTTAGGATATAAGATTAGCTATATCGGAATATGAAAACTTTGCCATATCGCCCAGCCCTTGTACCTTCTATCTACAACTTTCACATAAGCCCTAGGTGTTTAACACCATATCTGCAAACATGATAAAAAAAGAAATGGACATTATAAAACATTGTAAAGATTACAAAGAAATTATAAGAGATCTTAAGAACAATAACAAAGATAAGAACATTTAAAAGCAAACAAAATGTAAAAACTAAGACATCAAGCTAATGTCAAGAATCATTTGTAAAGGCCAACAAATGATACTGAATCTTCAAGTCAGTCTGAAGGCCGGATCACACTGTGCGATTTTTGGCCGTTGCACAGGATTGTTCATGGGTGTGTCCGAATCCGTGGGCAGGATACTGGGTCCTCACCGGTCTAGCAAGGCCCGGTCTTTGCTCGACCACTAAGACCGGAACCCAGCAGCTCTGAATTCGGACAGTCTAGCCTTCACCTCTACGGTGGCCCATAGGTCCCGTCACAGCCGTGGCAGCAGCTACACGCAAAGGAAAAATGCTAAAGCTAGCGAGAATCGAGCAGGAATATTTAAGGAGCTACAGCAGCTTTACCTCCATCAGCAGCATTTGTTCACAACCGTTTTCAGGTAAAGTAACTTTGTTTATTCTAGAAGCTTTCAGGACTTAAATTTAAATCGTTTCATGTATGTTTTAAGCTACAGAATGAACTTGTTAAACATACACAACACATTACTACAGAGTATTAACATGTAGATAATTAATATAAACCAAATGCATTATAAACGTTGAACGCAGTAGGATGTTTTCTAATGTAAATTGGACCTTAGAACTTCTTATTTTGCATCAAATGGGGGTAAAATGTATTAAAAAACAGGCAAGTAGCATTGAAGAGTTTTCAATGTGCATTTGTTTATTCAACTTAAGCCTAATAATGATTCGATCGGTCTTAAAATGTAAATTCTCTGTAGTTTTGATTTAACCATTTCCTGCTGCTTTTCTTTAAACTGAACAGAACCAATGTACTGCAGGTTATATGTTTTGTTTTACATTTTTCAATAAAAAATCTCTTTATTTATTTATTACAGGTCAGCATGCACTATTCTGCACATCTGCATCTGTACTAGTGAAGTTGTGACCCTGGAGGATGAGCCTGAGGAAGATGTGTGTGGAGGAGGTCAGTGGTGCTCTGTTCTGTATGAGGTACCAGCAAACCACCTCTACTGTAAACAGGCAAGTCATTTATGTAGGAACCTCTATTAAAAACAACACTGTGGTTTTATTTGCTGAAGAGTCACAGTTGTTATACTAGTGGATCCATAAACATCTCCTCATTTCATATTTCTGAATACATCTTAGAGATTAGGGTTGTCACGGTAACCGGTATAGCGGTAAACCCCGGTAAAAAAGTTGACAATAAAAATAACCGTCCAGTTTTTAAAAAACTATATTATCTCGGTGGGTTTACCGTGGCCGCGGTTTCGGCGCGATGACCCTTACCAGCCACCGTCGCTTCAGCTGAAGTTCCCGCGGCGCGCACACGCACTTTTTAGTTTGCAACGGCACCAAAACTTTGAAGCTGAAATAATGGCCGAAGGAGGAGACGGCAGCGCCCAGGACATCCATCCGCCCTCAAAGAAGACTAAATCGGAAGTATGGGCGTATTTGGGATTTCTGAAAAATGCTGAGGGACAGTTAATAGAAGACTGCTATCCCGTTTGCAGAACGTGCAGGAAACAAGTGTCTGCAAAAGGTAACACTTCGAATCTAATGGCACATCTGCGTGACCATCACCCACGTCTCTACAGCCAGTGCAAGGTATGATAACATTAGCATTTTAGCTGAAATGCATGACGTGAGGACTTTTGGTTGAGGGAGAATGCAACGAGACACTATATACTGCAGCCGCAGCGCCCTCTGCCAGCATTTAAACCGTGTCACAGACACCCTGTTGCTGGATGAAGCATCTTATTTGTTGATGATGAAGAGAAATATACAATTAGTTCCTTGTCATTGATTTGTTTACTTATTCAAGGCCATTTATACTTGAACATTTGGATTTGATTACATAGTGTAGTAGTTATTTTAGTAATTTGTTTAAAGTGGCTATTTGTTTTAAATACATATTTTTTAAGGTTGACTTGTACAGTGCTCAAGTCAAGTGTGGACTGGAGTTTTAGATTTTCATTTTGATATGAAGAAAACAAGTATATGAGAAAACAAGTGGTGTTTCTTTGCTTTGTTTACATATTGTTTATGTTTTGAATGTTTGGATTTGTATAATTTAAACCTGCACTGACTACTGTAACATGTTCCAGAAAAAGAAGCTATTTGTTCCTTTACTTGTGAAAAGTTGCACTTTTGCTAAGGCTTGTGTTATTTTAGGTTTAATAAACACTGTTAAACATTTTCAAAACTATTTCAGTTTGTGTAGAACAGGACTATCAATGCTTTCTGAACATATGCAACACCGTTTAAAAAATACCGCGATAATACCGAAAACCGTGATAATTTTGGTCACAATAACCGTGAGGTTAAATTTTCATACCGTGACAACCCTATTAGAGATGTAACAGCCATTGTCTGAGCCAGCCCAGCGGTCCCTGTAGATGGACGATGGAGTGGACAGTGAGAGGAAGCGTCCCAAAGCTCTCTCTGCAGACCGTCCTGTAACGATGTTCCTCTGACCAGAAACGTCCAGCCACGGGTCTGCTCCAGCCCTCCATCCACGTCTGGATCCTCCTGCAGCAGATCCAGCTGCACTGTTAAAGACTTCCTGCTCGCTCAGTTTAAATAAATGATCCAGGAAGAGTCACTCAGGTTAATCCTGCTTTAACCGTACATAACTGGTCCATACTGGTTTTGATCTGTAAATAATTGTAACGTATTATAAATAATCTTGTCTCCTTACCATCTTTTCATTTTCTGTTCATGTAACATGTTCAAAAACCTCTGTAATAATAAAACTGGTGATAAAATCAATGACGAGACAGAGTTATCAGTTTGTATTTGTTTTAATAAACGTGTTAAAATATCAAACAGCTAAATAACATTAACATGATAACAGTAGAAGGCTTCTCTCCCAGGAGGACCGCCAGGTAAAGCCTCTTCTGACCCTGGACACCTGCAGTCCTACAGAGAAAACCAGATCACATGTGACAAAAAGGCAATAAACACATTTTTACATTTATCCACATGAGAAGATAAAAAGTATATTCTTCACACAAAATTTTTTTACTTCATTAAAATGTGCCAGCTGTGTAAATCCCTGAATGTAAAACTACTCTTCACAGCAGAACACAGAAGAACTTCTGTGGTCATGTGTAAACGGCTTCACTCTTCACCTCTAAGCTTAATAAAAACGCTTCTTTGCTCTGATGCCCTTAAAACAAATGATGATAATAATAATAATAGCCTTTATTGTCATTGTACAGGATACAACGAAATTGGAGTGCCACTCCCTTGGTGCACTAGGGCTGCAACAAACGATTATTTGGATAATCGATGAATCGGATGGGGTCTCGACACGATTAATCGATTAATCGGATTACATAGGGACATTTTTAAAAACTGCTAGGGAAACGTTATTTCTCTCCTTCCTTCACTAAACACAAAGTTCAATAGCAGAAAAACAACATGCCATCACCTAAATTGTCTTATAAGGTGTATAGACAGAGACCCTAAGCTACATCTATCTGTGACCTAAAATGCTTGGTCCAAGTTAAACAGCTGAGCTTAAAGAGCAAGTCACCCCCTACCAGAGTCTAACTCCACTCCCACTTCATGTTTGAAAAATGCAACACAT